GGAGGAGGAGGAAGAGGAGGAAGAAGAAGAAGAAGAAGAAGAAGAAGAAGAAGAAGAAGAAGAAGAAGAAGAAGAAGAAGAAGAAGAAGAAGAAGAAGAAGCATCCTAAGCTCAGTGCAGAGGTTCACCACTAGTCTTTGATTTGTAACAGCTAGGCACCTTCTGTGAGCAGAAAGTATTCTTTTGATCTCTCAGAGGTCTAAGATCTAAAGAAGCAAGCTTTGTTTTGTAGGAAATAAACAAATTAGAAAGGATGTAAACTATAGGAAGCTAGGGCCATTTCCTTGTCTTACAGAAGACATAAGGGCTAAAGGGGAAGAGAACACTGGGGAAACAAGTAGTTTTCCTTCTGTCCTGTCTATGATCTGAACCCTGATAGAAATGGAGCTCCTCGGGATAGATGTGCATTCTCGTGTTTTTATGTGAAGACCTTCCTACTTTGTAGCCTTAATGATGTTCCTTGTAAGTCAACGGTATGGGAGCTGAGAAACAGAGGGACAAACCTTCAGAGAGCTGAAAAAGGGCAACCCAACCCTTCCAGGGCAATCAGAAAAAGGGCAGAGATAAAATGAGAGAACAAAACAGTTACTGGATGTCTGTACACACTGACATGTGTGAAGGGATTAATTACACTTGAGAAGATGCATAGCGCAGCTAAGACATGGTACAGCCAGGTATCCAAGGACTGGAAAGAGACCCATTTGTATCTGAAAGAACTGTGGCCTTTACCCAGTGCCTACCTCACTCCCATAGAAACAGAAAAACCTCTCTGGGAATGGAGATTTATCTCAGAAAATTTTTCTGTAACTAAATTTACCTGGAATTGGCAAGATTAAATTTTCTCCTACTGAGCAGAAGAGAGACTTGAAATAGAAATTAAGTTCCATTACAGGAAAATAACGTTTCACTCCTTACACTGAGTTTGTGGCCTGTGAAAATGCATACCCATTACACAAACATAAAGTTTTGCATTTGAGCTTCTATCAATTGCAATACAAAATAATTTTGTATGATGGCTAACTCATCCTTTAAATCAACTTAACATGAACAGGTTTTACCAAAAAAAGCAAACAAACAAACCTAGAAATCATCTTGCCAAAGTGCAAAGCCGTCTCCTAATGAATATTTCAATTCAATGTTGTGGTGCCTCACATTTCTATTGAGTGGTGAAGTACGTGTGATTCATTAAGCTTTCATTCATTATGAAAATAGTCTAGCAAATTATATTCTTTGTAAGTGAAATCATTATGAAAGTAAGTTACAAAATACATTAAGCCCTTTCATGATCCATCTCAAGGAAAATCCAAATAGTTTTAAACATGTAGCAAGGTCATTATATTTAAAAGTCTTAGATCTAACTTTTCATTAGTTATTGTATGAAATATTTCTTGCACATATTTCTAAATTTGGTTATTCTTTGTATAGTACAAACTATTTTTATGTGTGCCATGGAGAATCTTGGTTCAACTATGCTTTCTTCAAGTTTAAAATAAAGATGAAATTCTAGTTTTTAAAATACCATGTTAAAATGTTCTTTTCTTTTCCTCTTGCATTTCTGTAAGCCTATCTTGCTCTTTAGAGACTGTAACATGAGCCTTCATCTATTCAATTTTGTATTAAATTATCATTTCAAACTTGTGAATACAATATATAAACCAGGCAGCATGTTACAAGTTTAAAATAAGGTTATCTGGCCCTCTTTGGTGTTCAAAAGTCAGCTATCAACTTAAATGGAAGGTAGAAGTCAGGACAGATTTAGTGTACTATGTTCTGCATACTTACATTACTGTTCATTACCACGAACATGCCAGTACATGTTTGTTTCCCAGGAAAAATAGAGTCCTATTCATTTTCACCAAAGTCCTGTGGTACGGAAAAGACATTCATTCTCTAATGGCTCTATGGCTAGGGGATTGTGAGGCCTGGGGTATTATTTTCAGAAGATAGTTTACCAATTAAAAGCAAACAGCACCTGATTGCTTGCTACGTCCTTAACATTGATTGGTTGTGATTGCAAAGGAACATCAGGAGGAAAGGGAAGGCACATTCTCTCCCATTTCTCTGCTCACTTGCTTTGGACTCCTCCCTGGAAACTGACCATTAGTCCAAGGAACTTCCAACTTACAAGCTCTGACATCTTTTTTTTTCCTCCAAGCAATTTAAAAAATATACTAGATGTATTCTCTCACAAACACTTAATCATTTCCCCCCTGAAATTTAATAAAATGTAAGAAGTTAATATAGAAGCAAGTGTTAGAAATGAGTTTTTGGAAGTTCAAGCCATGAAGACAAATAAAACCATATTCTGCAAGTAAAAACCACTGATGTTTTGTATGAAACTAAATATATTCTATTTTTTAATGGCTGATAAAGAATGCAGATGTTAGCCACTGGTGTTTTATGTAAATTCCGTGGAAAGAAGTTGGTTTAGACTTTAACTTTGCAATTAATACAGAGATTAAGATCAATGCTATTTTCTTATGCATAGATCTAAAAATATTTGTATTTCTTATGTAGGCAACAGACCTAACAATCTGTTACTTTTTTTTTTTTTGGTTTGTTTCACATTCAATGATCTTTTAAAGTTATGTACTCTTGGGCTTAATGTAGTCATGTGATGGTTAGGAAACTGCTCTGTGTGGAAGCTAAGGAATATATCTGCTAACATTGTAAGTAATCGAAACAACAATTAAAATAACAACAAAAACAGTCACACATAAATCTTATTCTAATAATAGCACTGACAGAAAATAGGCTACAGCACTTATGGTAAAGGTGTTTTCCTGACTTAGTAGATAACATTTCATTGCTTGGCTCTTGTACTTATTCATGGTGATGAGTCTGTTGAGGAAACAAATTTTTCTTGCGCTTCTGATTTCCATGCACGAAGGGGAATGATTAGAATTTTAAAAGCTAGAGTCGGGTTTTTTTTTGTTTTTTTTTTTCTTTTGGTACTGGGGATCGAACTTGGGTCAGTGCGCTTGCGAGGCAGGCCACCAAACCGCTGAGCTAAATCCCGGGCCCTTTAAAAGCTAAATTAATAATAATTGCTATTAAGAGCTTTCTCCTAGTAACTGGCATTAAAGGTGATATGCACTAGTAAAGAAGTAGGTACTTTTTTAGGGATCAACCTGTTGATTTCAAATAAAGTGACTAAATTATATGATCCCAGGCTTTGTCAAAGGACACAAGGTTTATTGCAGCCTATTAATGCGTCACCTCATTGACACCACTGACTCAATTCCATCAAGAATTTTCAGTTTTCTTTCTACGGTAGCATATTAACACCAACCTGGCTGTTTTCTCCTACCTTTTTTAGCACCAACAATAATTATTTGTGTGGTCTCTTAACTATGATGTGTATGACTGTAGCCAATAATTAGAGAAAAGCTGACTGTCTGGTTGGCTTTATGATCATTGGTTCTCACACCATCTATCAAGAAAAAAAGACACTACTGTTTATAATGCAGTATTTAAAGAAAAATGCTTTGTCAACTTGTATTTCCTAGTACATGAAGCTGAGTCCAATGAAAAATTCTTAGTTTTTCTTGGTACTATCTATGATAATTTACAAAAAGTTGAGTGAATTTAATCATTGTATTTTGATGTTATCATAAAACTCTCCAAATTAAAACCTTTGGATAGGTTGGTTATTGAATTTTAGAATATTCAGATTGTTTTCCATCATTAAAAGTAATTTTACATTAAGTATATGATCCCACATTGAAAGGTTTAATTACATTAGTATCTTAACCTTCTTTAGATTTCTGATTCTGCTTCTGATAAAACAGTTCACAAAATTTCAAAATTTATTTTTCTAAGTAACTTTATTTTCATGAGCTTTCTATGTAAAGATAGGAGTTTAGAGAATAGCTTAATCAGAAAATTACTTGTCATGCTGCTTCTTCTAAACTTACGCTTCACAAAAACATAGTCAAAGAGCAGATTTCTGCATAGAGTCAAATAGTTAATAACAGAAATATTTTGTGGGCTAATTGTCAGTTTTTTCCAGAAAGCAAGCTTGTCATTCTGCTTATTTAATGTTGAAATTATTAATGACAGATAATTAACCCAGGTCCTTTATAATTTGAGAAATGATTTCAATAAAGGGAAAATGTGTTCTATTGATGAAAGTTAGCAACATGAGAGGAGTTTGCCTTAAGGAATGTCATTGTTTCTGGTGCCAGATGATCTGAAAACAATGCAAAGCTCAATTCATCTTTCACAGAAGCAAAAGAACTTGATTGCCAAGATGTACGACTCCAATAAGCAAGGTATGGCAAATTTATTGCATAGCTGGAAAATCATCTAACATTAATATCTGAATTTATAATGAGTGAGGCAAGGTTAAATGATCCTTTTTCATGAACTACAAAAGTGCAAGTTGTTTTAATCTGCAGTAGAAGTTTAATTTGTCACTCTTACATTTGCATATCTGATTTGGAAACACTTTGAAACACATGAGTTTTATTATTTGTGATATTGTCAAAGACATCTATTAATATTGTGAGCCATCAAATAAAAATTGAACTCCTCTTGCTATGCAATAAGCTTTTCTAATGATGTTATAAAATGATATTTAGCAAGTATTGCGTTTGCTAAGATTTTTCCATGACATAGTCTTAACTCCAGTTTTTTAAAGTAAATATTTTGTTACTTAATACTTAAATGTACTTAATAGCCTAATATGCATTTTCAAGCATGAAAATTGCTTAGCATCAATGGAGGGTAGACTCACAGATTGGTAATAAATAAGAAAAATTGAACACAATGTTTTAAATTGCTATAGTATTTCAATATATTTTCTGTTTAATACCGTTCTCGCAATTGTTAGTAGTATTTCAGATAAATGTGAATAGTGCCTTATGAGTGTGTGAAATTCTCTCATTGTATAAGTTTCACCAGCATTTATGAAAACTCAACATAATTAAATAGAATCCTTTCCGTTCTTTTGGCTAAATCTTGTCATGACTAAGATTAAGCAGATCACAAGATTTCCTTCTCTCAAGTAAAAGAGCACTGGCTTCAGAGTCTTAGAGTAATACTTCTGAGAGAAGAAGCTGTGGTCCTTCAGGAGTAGTTTTCCTCCCAGCGATTAAGAAACCAGGTTGGTTCTCAGCTGCCCTAAAGACACAATTTTGATTGATATCAGTACTAAGTATAAACTTTTTCCTCCAAAAATGTTAAGTGAACTATCAGGAGTTGTTAGATATAAGTCATCAGACAAAATGAAATAGTCCCATCATTTCTGGTCATTATTCACCAGAGTTTACCTTGTATTCCTCTGTAACTCAGCAACCTTCCCACTATCCACGCTCCTGGCAGAGCTGCTGTTGTTAAATTTCTGACAGTTTTTTCATTACAGGCTCTGTTTTTCAAGAGGCAGGTTAACTAAGCAATTTTGATTTGTGCCAAGCTGAGATGTGGAATAGACACTTGAAGTGGGTTATCTTGTTTTCATAAGGTTTCATTTGAACTTATTTGTCCTGCTTTGATCTAAAAAGCATAAAGGAAAAAAAACACTAAAATTTATCCAGTTTCTCATTGATGAGTTAGCACAACTAAGCAAAGGAATAGTAAATCCTATAATTGTCTTTTTTTTTATTACAACTCAAGCCTTTTTAGGAATTAACAAGAAATTTTGCGCCCAGTTATTCAGAAAAATATTTTGTTCAGAAAAATATTTCAATTTCGTTCAGGAAAATATTAACAACCATTTGTTTTTCATACAAAAGGTAACAATAAGAATCTTTTCTTTTGGAAACTGTGACACAAGTTTTTTTTTTATACTATGTTAAAAGTATGACATACATTTCAGAATAATTTTTCTCATGATTAACAAAACCTCTGAGATTTCCTATAGAAAGCATGGAGAATGTAGATAAGAAAGAGAAGGAAAATCTAAAATGAACCTAACAAGTGATATCATATTGAATTAGAAGCTGTTTTCAGGACTTACAAGATATCCCTGAAGTCTTCGAAGCTTCTGGTGGAAACACGCCTGGCTATCCATCTGCCCACTTCTGTACACAGTTAATGCACCGCAATCACTTGGACCTGATGTTTCCATATTCATTCCATCCATTTCCCACACAATTCCATGTGGTCTGGCACTCACCTAATTGCTCTACAAAAATGTTTCTCTCCCAGTTTCCAGTATGCAAGTCTCTTTGTCACTGTCCAAGTACCATTTTCTCTGTCTTCTTTGTCTTTGATGTTCAGTGCAATTTGTTTCAGGTTTGAAAGTCTTCTAACTTGGATTCCATAATGGTACCTAATTTTTGTTCTTTTCTCACATTGCAACTAATCTGTCTCTGGCCTTCAGTTTCTCATGTTCATCCTTTCATTTGACGTATACTCTGAGATGGAAAATAACAGAATAGCCAAATGAGTTGTGTCAATTATGGGATACTTTATTGGTAATTTAACAAGAAGTGCAGGCCTAGTTTGGTAGCTCAGGTAAGAAGAAACCGAGCCTCTAGGTTCCTGTCTGCCTTTCCCGGTTATTGTCTCCTCTCTCTATCGGCGATGTTGTTTCCCACTGGCAAGATGCTCTTCCAGCTTTAAGAAGGCAAGAGGCTCAGCTTCTTCTGCTTCTTCAATCAGGGGAAAAAAAACTATTTCTTAGAAATTTTCTCAAATAACATTAGTCATCAATGGTTCTTACACCCATCCCTACAATATTTAAGGGTGAAGGACAATCTGTGATGACACAGATTGAAGCCAGTTATGACTCATCCTTGGGTGGTGGCCACAGTGTCCCCAAACAGTCAGCTTTTGGGGAGCAAAGAAGTTTGGATGACTTGAACTATGATGGACAGGGGCTGTGCCACTACCAACTACGTCTACTCAAGAGTAAGTCTCTTTCTCCCTACTCAGAAGAGAAGATCTGAGGCTCCATTCATGTTACTCTGAGAAGATTGTTATGGAAACCATTTGGAATGTGAAATGGCTATATAAACTGATGACTTATCTAGAAAATATACTGTATTTATCCAACAAGACACAAATCTTAAATATATTCATGTTTCCTCTTGTGTTTGAACCAAACACCATATCATGAAATCCTTTCCTTTCAATTTATCATCACAGTGTCCATTTTCCATCCTCCGATATTAAGTCCAAATCACCAAAAACCTTTACCATTTGTCTCCTGCCTATCTTTCTTGGCCTCATTCATTTGCTTCCTCTTATGTGATTGATATTCTTCAGCTGTCTAACTTTTGCCTTCCTGCGCACAGCTCAATGTAAATGCGATCACTGGGGTTCAAGCTCTTCAAGAAATCTTTCTGTGGAAATCAGATCCCACTGCTCCATATAAGTCAGTTCTCCTCTTTGAACCTCTATAGTCCACGCTTATCCCAATACCTTGTCTAGATCTTTCCTGTTGCCATTAGCTCATGTTTGTCTTTTATACCATTTCAAACAGTGCTGCATTACCCAACAAATAGACCAAGCAAGTTACTGAATACTTTGGTCTAAAGTTTGCAAACCTAACATAAACTGTCCGATTCTTCCAGGAAGAGTAAGCTAATCTATTGATGCTTAAATTAGTAACTCCATATCCTAGTCTTGCCCAAAATTTTAATGGCCTTTAATGAGTGTAGGAACTGTAGTAGAAGTTATATGTAGGAACAATAGCCTAGTCCTATATATCTGCTTTGCATATGTATTCTCATTAAATATTTAATGATTAGTTGGTCTTAGAATAACTTTAAATGACATATACCATGTTTTACACAGCCTTCCTCCATCTGAAATGTCTTTTTGTTTCTTTTTGTGGTTCTGAGGCTTGAACCTCATGCCCTGCCCCTTGCTAGGCAAGGAAGCTAGTACTGACCCCCATCCCAAGGCCCAGAAATGTTTTTAAATGGAATCATCTGCAATACACTGCTAAATCCTATTAAATTATCATGTCCTAGTATGAGATAATAGGATAGCTCTGTGCATGTTTACCCCTTTTCTCCAGGGTACAAAATACCCTTCACCTGACTGTGATAGAAACATAAATTTGTAGGAGGCCATGTTATCAGATGTTACAGAAGTAATAATTTTTCTTTTTGCTCCTACCAATCTTAATCCTTTTCCCATAAAGATACGGGAGTATGTTTTGTCACCTTGGTTTTAGACTTTTCAAAGAACAAGTCAAATCAGTAAGTAAGGTCTGCTACTTAGCACAAATATCATGCAGGCAAAAATTGTGTTGAGATATGGAATTTGAAGAAAAAGTCACCTTGTAAATTCTGTTTTTACAAACATTTTGAAAGCCTATTGAGTTTGAATTTAAACTTGAGAGTCTGTCTAGTGGATTAGGAGTTTATTAAACAGAGCAGCATGTGCAGCTAATGTGCTGTGATGATGGTGAAGACGCCCCTGATTGTGTTGACAAGGGAAGGGTTTAAATTTCACGAGTCGTTCTGGTTATTAAGAGCATCATCGGGAAAACATGTCTGTGTGGCTTTGTAGGTGAGCGCCACAAAACTAGGTACTGACCTAACGTCATCTAAATAATTTGCTACACCTATGGCCAAACAAGTGAATAAACATTCTCTCTTCTCTCTCTCTCTCTCTCTCTCTCTCTCTCTCTCTCTCTCTCTCTCTCTCCCCCTGTCTCTCTCCTCTCTAGTCTCCCTCCCTATTTCTGTCTTGGTCTCTCTGTTTTCCACCCCCCCACACACCTGTGGGGTGACTGCAATTAAACTACTTTAGTAGTAGCAGCAGGTGCTCTAGGCTTTCACACCCCCTGGGCCTAGCAGACTTTGGTTGTCAGCTAGTTTATTAGCATAAGAAAATCCATGGAAATTAGCCTAACCTGAGACTTTCACTTTTATCCCATTTCACAGAACTTCAGAGTACAGGGGAGGAAATGAAGAAGAAAGAAAGGGTATTGATTCCCCACTTGAGAAGTCTGCTAATTTGAAGAAAGTGTTATGTGTGGGATGAGATAGAGAAGAGAGAGGGAAGACGCGGTCCCCTCCCCAATATCTTCCCTCCTGCCCTGAGACCCGTTTTCTCCCTTTTCCTGCGTCTGTATTCCCTTTCTACTCGGATACCCTGTTCCTCCACACACTACAAATCCAAGCGCAGTGATTTCTTATCCAAAACTATTTAATATTTGAAATGAAAGAAAGGCAATTTTTTGAGTGCGAAATCAAAAACATTAAAAATAAAGGACTACCGGTCACCAGTGCGTGCATAGGTCACCTGTCTTTCGAAAACAAACCCAGATAAAACCAAACAGTGATCAGAAAACTAATGAGTGGTGGAGGTGCTGGCTAGCTCTGCTACCTAGGGGTCCTCTACGTGTTTATTTCTACCCTGGCTTTGTGTTTCACTAGGAGAAGAGCAACAATTGGAATTTCATTGCCCTCTATCTCCACAAAAATACAACTAAATCACATCAGCTACTCACTTAAAATATTCTTTGCCTTTCATAGCATTCATATCACTCTGAAGGCTGTGAAGTCAATAAGAAAACAGGGACGTTTCCTTTTTACCCCCCCCCCACGAGTAGGAAGCGATCCAGTCCAGGTTTTGCCTTCCGCCCTGCCCCTGAATTTCGGCTGTGCACGGAGGAGCACGTTTCTCTCTCCCCGCCCTTTCTCCTTCCTTCGCCTCGCGTGTCAGTCTCCAGGATTTCTCTCTTCCTATTTCAGAAAGGACTCACAGCTCCCGCAGTCTGTGTGAAGCCGAGGTTCCCCCCGGATCCCGTCCATCCCCAACACCTACCTCCACGCACACACATCCCCGCGAGCCCCGCG